ACAAAAATCATTTAACGCATGTTCAGATATGTTTTAAATTTTTTATTTTTACCATAAAATAATCGTAATTATTATGGCCGCAAACTTCATCAATAAAACATTTATTCTATAGCTGCACGCACATAGTATTCAATATTTTGGACCGGACAGACTCACAATTATGACCGAGGATCGTAAGTACCGGTTCCATTAATCGGTCAAGATTAATCTTAGATCCAACTTCAGACGAAAATAAATTTCATTAGTTGTAAGCGTGGTTAAATTTTTTATGTTTATGTTCATTCGTTTCTTCTCAATTAGCTTTTAACATACGAATAATAAACAATCAATAAAACAAGCTATTATTTGACGTCCTGTATTACGTTTTTAAAAATAATTGTTTTGTTAATAAAAAATGTTTTTCAAAAAATAGATTAAATAATAAAGTATAAATTGTAAAGGGTTTATTTAAATATAATTCTTAATTATAACAAATGTTCAAATATTTATTTCAGTTTCGATGGTAAACAATATAATATAATTTACCACGTATTTTAAAATTTCTGATCCACTCACGTTAAAACTCTAACCCAACAGTATGACTTTATTAGCTTTGCTTTGCTATAATCTCTTCATCTTGTTCTCCGATCTTTTCTTTTAATTGCTAATAATATCTTGCTTGATTTTGGTTCCTACTTCGCGCTCGTTAATCTTTTCTTCTAAATAATTTATTGTTAATTGTTTAGTTTTGGCTTCTTCTTCTCGCTCTTTAATCTTTTCTTCTAGAGCATAAATAGTTTTGGCTTTAGCTTCGGTTAGTTCTTCTAGCTCCCTAATCTTTTCTTCTAATGCATTGATAGTTATTTTCTTGACTTCAGCGGCTATTCCTTGTTCTCTGACCAATTCTTCTAAATCATTGATCGTTTCTTGTTTGGCTTTAGCTTCTTTTTCATGTTCGTTAATCTTTTCTTCCAAATATTTGAATTGGAAACTTAAATTTGAAGACTCCCCTTTTTTTGATGTTAAATTTTGAATTTCTCGCCTCCGATTTTCTGATTCATCTATTATCTCAGTAAGTTTCTTTCCTGCTAATAATTCTCTTAAATTATCTAAATCACTACTACCTAATTCGTCAAACAAAAAGGTGAATAACAATTGATTTTCTTCTTTGTAAATCTTTTTACTTTCTTCTAATTCATTAATTCTATTTTCCAAGTCTTTCAAGGTTTTATTTGGGTTGAATTTAAAAACCATTTTTACATTAATTCATTAAAAAATTGTAAAAAGTTTGTGGTAGGGAGGGTTTTTCCCAAGACCGTTCTAAATGGTCATTATTTATTAATTTCAGCCCTTGACTATCATTGCTTTTTTAGTTTGAAAATTCGTTAATAATTGTTTCCTCATGCATAAATACTTTTCTTCTTAGAAAAGCTGAAAATGGGTGATCGGCTATTAAATCCAGGACCTCACCCCATATAATGAAATACTGTTAAACAATTTATTAAATCATTTTCTATACTTTTTAAAATAATTTTTCAAGAAGCTTGTGTAGCCGATCTATACTAGAAAGGTGCAATAGATGCTACGCATTATTAAAGTTTTTGCCACTGTAGATTAACAATTTCAAGTGAATCCATTTAAATCCAACGGCTGTCAATATGTCTGAGAAGAGGAATTGCGAAAGAATGCAATACTACGGAATCGAGTAGATTTCGTCCATTAAAAGGAGAAAAATGGAAAGAGAAACTCCACAGTAGGCAACGTGCGTCCCTGCTCGTGTTTACAAGAATCGGCGGGAAAGGGCCACATGACACTAATGGGCTGTCACTTCACTTACCTTCCTTCCACCGACTATCTCGACATTGGTTGGTAGAGTACTGTTGCACGCAGTATGACGTTTATTGGTTATAAACAATAGAAAAAAGGTAAGCAGAAGTTTATTTATTTAAAGAATAAATTTTTTTTTATTGATAACAAATGAAATCTAACATAAATCTACGTAAATAAGGATTGCCTCAATCTTCGGTACTCTATACGATCAGATAAGTAATTTATTATACACTTTCGTTATTCGTTACAAATAAAAGGAAAGGGGTGAATGCTAGACTAATACTATCTATTGAATTATATAGGGAACGTATGGAACATACTCGAGCGAAATCCCACCTCTTTTCCAGCAAGGACTAATTGTTCAGAGGCCTTTTTGTCCTCGAAACATAATGGCCGGATGGCATATTGGCCAGGAGACAAATTGGCCGGTAGGCAATTTGGCCAGAGGACAATTAGGCCATTGATCTACAAAAAGTCTAACTAAATACTAACAAAAACTTAAAATTAAGCCTAAACAAAAAATGGAACACCGAAACTAATAGAACACGATCGAACGATTTAATTATTAATATATTCTTGTAACAGTGCACAAAATAAATTGGTTAATAAATTGTTTCATCCATTTTTTTGGTGTGTTGTTCGACCAAGTAGAAAAAAACTTATTTTCAGTGCAAAATCAGGTTATTAGCACAACACAAGCCGAAAATTTTGGAGGGTATCGTTTTTGTATTTTATTTAAAAAAAAATTTTTTTAAAAGAAGTGAAGCAAAAAAATAACTAAATATCTGTTGTTGAGAACACAATATAAATATCGAACAAAAAAAAAATATATAATATTCCTTAGTTCCCTTAGTTCCTTCAATAAAAAAGTACGGAGTTGAGTAAACACGAAATCGAGAGTTAAATACCTCTTTATAGAAAGAAACCTATAATTTTATCACGAGAAATTTCGAGAATTATTTTTGCATGAAGATATTGACTATGTATTGGCAAAACTTTCGCGTGACGCCACAAGTCATATGTGGGTGAATGATAATGAATTGTTTGAACGTCACTAACAAAAAAAATCACTATTAATGAGGTTTTAAATGCTGTGTAACTGGCTCAAACTATCTCTGTACTAAGTCATGGGGTAATTCAGGTTTTGATACATTTATTTCAATTCAGTTAAGGAGAGAATCGCTGAGTTCTGATCTGTATAAGTTGATAAAGAATCACTGTGTAACTCAACTCATTGTAAATCAAAAAAAAAACTGCAAATCGCCAAAGAGATGGAAAACAAGCCGAAATATGACGGAAATATACTGAAGAATTAATTAATTCTAAACTTCGTTAGCTTTTCATTTATTATTTGTCATTATTTAATGAAATGCTTGATAACATAAAAATCTATTAAGATCGTTAAAGAATGTTTAATAAAAATATGATTGGTTAGCATTTTATTTTTTTTTTAAAAAAAAAAATAATTATATTCGACGCCAAAATTGGATCACGGCTATGACGATCAATATATTTTATACATCCCATGCACAAAAGGTTTCTAAAAAGAAATGTGTAAATATGTTACATAGTTTAAAATATTTTGGCTAGCTTTTATTAGAAACGAATGCAAGCATAAGTAAAGTATATACAAACTATAGAATTAAAATTAACCTAAATTATATACAACAATTTCCAATATGAAATGTTTATTCTGTTTATTCTTATATAAATAATATATCATTTTCAAATAAACATCAATCCATTTTTTCTTTAATATCAAATATAGTTTAAATATTATACTATTACTTTATTTTTAAAAATAAATAAACCGAATTGATTTCCTTAATATCCACTTTAATTAATTTATAGCTCGAGACAAACATATGTGGAAATTATTTATGTTGCATTAAAAAAAGATTTTTACTTCATTTCTTGGAATTTATTTCTAATATTTATTAAATTAATGAAGTAAAAAAATGTGTTGAGCAAATTTCATATTATGAATTTCTGCATCAACTTGTCAATTAAGTGCCCTAGATATTTTGTATTAAAATAAAAAGATGTATGCGCGAGTTTCTAGGAATTTTTTTTTTAAATTTTAATAACGATTTTGGTGAAATATGCCTTGGAAATTTAGCACAGGTAAAGAGAAAAGGAAAGCGATATAATCCAGAAGAAAGGGAAATCATTAAAAAAAAACTCTTCCCTGTCGCGAAAATCTATATAGTATAGTTAACATTTCATGGATAGTGTTTTTTATATTGGTTAATGTTGATAATCTATATCATCACACGGCCCTATGGGTTATGCTGAATTTGTTTGACCAATTTTTATGTTTGCATCAATTGCTAATCATCTTACAATATTGAATAATAGAAGCTTATTGCGTTCAATATTGAAATTAATAATTTATTTTCATATTCACTAAAGAGCTAGTATTCATATTTTATCGTTATTGATTTGTTGCAACGATTTACGTGAAATTATTGACATTTTGTAGTAATGAACTCATTTGTAAAGAAGAGACTAAAACCAAATAAGTATTTAAATGATGAAAATATTAACAAATGTAAGGATATGCGTTTTGAAAAGTTGGAAATTATTCACTTGAAAAAGCTGGCATTATTTAACATAATAAATAGTTCATTAGATCTATTCGTTTTTTAATTATATAACGATAGACAAGATTTTATTTTTAAATAATATAAAAAATGAGAAATTCTTGCGACGGCACCAAGTGCCTGAAATATATGGAGATAATATATAAATATTGAGTTCATAATAGCTACTTGGAATTATCTTCCGACAATCGATAGTGGACTCAAATCTTCAAAAGTAAATCTAATAAAATGTCATTGTGCTGTGCATTATTTTAAAAAATAATTGAGACTTATTTTAATAATAGTTATTACCAGCTGATGATTTTACATCAATTTAGATCTTACACTTCACATACAGAATTTATTTCGAATCTGAATATGAAAAGGGACCAACTTTATTTTTAAGAACCGGATGTTAAATAAATTCGGTTCAACCGATTACACGTGAAATGCTATTTAAATTATGTAATTGAATAATTACAATCATTTATTTAATACTTTGATATTTATTGACCTCAATAATCATTGATGTAAGAATCATGTAATTTAAATAAAGACAATCAATTTAAATCATTATTAGACTTTCTAATAAATTCTTTTCTTATTAAAATTACATTTATATATTTTTCATTGAAAACAGGAATTAATTTTTCAATAAAATTTATTCCTGTATCATAATTTTCACAATGGCGCACTATTAAGAAAATTCCTGATATGAAAAATAAACTTCACTATAATGTCTTTAAATAACTTTAGCTTCATTAGTAGAGTGAATATATTTGTTAACAACTATATAATTTTCTTATGTATTTATTATAATAACTTCATTTTTAAAAATTTTGATTTCGTAAGTGCTTAATCATTTTTGTATGTTGAAATAAAGATTTGGAAATTTCATTGATTCAATTACAAGTCATTTAAATTGGAGTTATAAGTATTACCTTACAGAAACTCGGATTGTGGTTAAATACTTTATTTGACAATAATAATTTACTTTTTTTACATTTATATTAAAAGATGAGTTATGAAACTTTGTATGAAAAAATTAGGCTATATAAGCATAAAATTTAATTGATTTCGCTGATTTCTGATATTTAATAATAAATCAAGAAAATTTAACGTTCAATCATAAAATAATAACATTTCTGCACAATTTTTTCAGGTATCATAACTAACCTTTCAATGCTTTCTGCAATTCATTCAGTTGAAATACTTGTATTCCGTCTTCTTCAGCACCAGCGTCACTATAATGCCTCATCATAATTGAGTTGGCAAAATACTTAAGTGATTTCTGCTATTATCATATTCATCTTTCTCTGCACCTTGATTATTATCAAGCCATACAATTGATTCTTTAATATTATCATCAAGTCTTTTCTTATCTGCTAGGTCTAATTTACCGGTAACTTTCTCGTCCTATGATTAATATAATTAATATAATTTGAATTGAGATTTAAAAATATGTTAATAACAATGTTAAATAAACTAACCTGAAATATATTACGCAAGTTATATACATAATTATCGTGCTTGTATTGATTGTGCATCTTTCCCATACTTTTTCACGAAATCTCTTGGCTTCAGAAACTTTTATTATATCATAAATTTTTTTAGTCAATAATATATTGTTACATTAAAAAACATAGTTACAAAATTTTTAATCAGTTACATACCCATACGTTCGATTTCATTCCTTGACACTCGAAAGTTTCTTCTGTAATGGCTTTATTAGATTTTCCTGTTGTTACATCAACAGCGGATACCTATAATGAAATAAAGTTAACATGCATCTATAAATATGTAAATAATGATAATAGTTCAATGCATAAAACATACGTTTAAAATACCATTTTGATTAATATCAAAGGTGACTTTGATTTGTGTAACACCACTTGGTGCTGGTGGAATTTCAATCAATTCAAATTTACCAAGCAAGTTGTTATCTTCAGAATGCGCCTTCATAAACCTTGATTAATACTCCTGGTTGATTATCATCATATTTGAAGAAAATTTCAGATTTAATAGCAGGGACTGTAGTATTACGCTTAATAAGTGTTTTCATGACACCACCGGCGGTTTCAATGCCGAGAGATAAAGCAGCAACATCGAGTAGCATTAAGTCTTAGTCTTTCCATAAGTATCATCAGATAAAATACCAGCTTGAACTGTAGCACCGTATGCTATTACTTCATCAGGAATAATGGATTTATTTAATTCTTTACCATTGAAGAACTCTGATACCATATTTCAATTTTAGGAATGC